CACACACACACAAAGAGAGAGAGAGAGAGAGAGAGAGAGAGAGAGAGAGAGAGAGAGAGAGAGAGAGAGAGAGAGAGAGAGAGAGAGAGAGAGATGGGGCATGTACCCGTACGTAGGGATTGGGATATGTAACATCTATGGACCTTTCCGAACCTGTCTTTCTAAGAAGGGCCAACAGCGAGGAGAAGAGTTTGTGGAAATCCGAAAACCAAAAATTCCAGTGGGAGCATTTTCCCTGTGCAATGATGACACATAGGAACAAGAAATCGACCGCAAAAAATAAAAATGAACCGAACTCTTGTCCATTGGCGGAAAGTGCTGGAAAGCTCTGCCTGTTGATGTCCATTCAGACGTTTTGTTTACCTCATTTTCTATTTCTGATCATGATTTCCATCCATCTACTTTACTGGGTGGCATTTTGCTGAAATAATAGGGCACCGTTTGCCATGTTGTTGTTCACAGCTGAAGACAGTTGTTACCCGTTCAACTGCACGCGGGGAAAGCTCTGCCTGTTGATATCCATTCAGACGTTTTGTTTACCTCTTTTTCTATTTCTGATCATGATTTCCATCCATCTACTTTACTGGGTGGCATTTTGCTGAAATTATAGGGCACCATTTGCCATGTTGTTGTTCACAGCTGAAGACAGTTGTTACCCGTGCAACTGCACGCGGGGACATGCTTACCGTTCGGTATGCCCTGGAGATTTCTGCCCATATCTTCCGCAGAGATTCCAAGAATGTCCGAGACTATGTCCAGCGTCAGCTGGGTTCGCTGCCAATCTGGGAAGATACCAAGTGAGTCCCCTTTTCCCCAATATATCAGTGCCCAGTTTCTGTTTTTTTTTTTTTTTTTTTTTTGTCCAAGAAAGGGCGGTTGCTCGAGGTATCATCATCAAACTGACCGGCTGTAGGTAATTCAGAATTCTAGTGTTTTTCGCATCTGCTTCCAGTGGAGTTCGAACTCAGGTGTGTGTCAACAGTTCAGGGGTGTACTTACCTGAGGTAGGCCTGTTTTTTTTCGTGCCCAATTTCTGTTGAAAACGTTTGGGACATTTCATTGTACTTTTCTCGTGGCATTTCTTCAGGAATTGGCGTGTTGGTCTGTGCTGAGTGTGCTGTAATCGCTATCTGCAGCTGCAGACCCCAGACCTACCCCGTCGTCCCCCTCCACCACCACCACCACTTGACATGTGTCGTTTCAAGATGAAAGGCTGGACTCTGCCTCCTCTAGGGGAGCGCATAGAAGGGCCATACTACAGGAGAAGAAAAGCACTTTGAAAACACCGGCCTGCCGTTTTGCTTCGAAAACATCCAGGCAAAATAGGCCATGCACACAACTCGCTTTGACTGGATGAATTTCAGGCGAATTGGCAGGCCGTTGAATCCCGCCATGTCGTGGAAAACGGGATGGGATACTTACTATGGTCTTTTAACAAAGAGCCTAAAACCCATGGTTACGATCCGGACGTCCGGACCGCAGTGCAGACGGTCTGGGTCTGGATGTCTGGGCCTGGTGTCCGGTCCAGAGTGTCCGGATACATCCCCCCACCCGCACGCCCCCAAAAAAATCCGACTTAAAAAAAATCAAAAAGATATGTTGCGCAGCATTGCACTGCAAAAATCTTTTGACTGAGGACCATCTCCAAATTTGTAGCCAAATCCAAAGGAAAATTAATAAAAAAACATTTTTTTGAATTTTTTTCATTAAAAGAGGTTTTTGTGAGGATTGAGCCCTCAAGAAGGGGCCTTGCCATGATGTACATGTTCTGGGCTTAGGCCCCAGCAAGCCTCGTGCCCGCCCTAAGTGAAGGCGGGCCAGCAAATCAACAAGAGCCCTCTGTGCAAACATTTCACGAAATGGGGTCCATACAGTTGCAGCACGCCAGTTGGTTGGAGGCACCGAGTATCGGAGCTCTGCAAATGCAGAAATCCCAGGGCCCCAGAGTTGGTTAGGCCCTGGGCACATAAACGTGAGGCCGACATTGCATACTGGAAATAGAGGCCGAAAATGCCAATGGGATACCGGTCCACTATCTGAATCTGGACGCAGGCCTGGATGAAAGAGGCACAACTGTACTGCGTGGGCGAGTGGGCAGGGATCTTGGCCATTGCGGGCAATGCCGGCACGCCGCACGCATGCGAGGTGCTGGGCTGAGGCAAAGGCAGGCTGCGCTAAGTGGTAGGGCGCTGCCTGGGCGCAGGGCGCTGGCGGCCATAGCCGGGCTGCCTGTGGGCGCAGAGGAGGAAGGGCAAAGGTGGTTCTTCGGAGGTGAAGGGCGCTGTGTGGGATAACAAGGGAGAGTGAGGGAGAAGAGAGAGACGTACCTGGAAGGAGGGGAAGTCGGCGTTGGTGTTGACATCATCACTCGCTGGTCGTCAAGTTGTCTGGTAGCTTTCATGCTGTAGTTGTAGTGATAGGCCGTAGAGTAGGTAGGGCGCCTGGTGCCATTCAAGAGAGAGAGCTACATTGGGTTATGCTGTTGGTGTTGCCCGATTGGGCTTGGACATTGACTCACGATTCTTCTGTATCGTTCTCAAATGGATGGTTACTCGGTTCCATTGTGCTATCTGCTCTTGCTTTGACTACTTGGACTTCAGTGTGATTTTGCAATCTGGATTTCTGTGCTTCGTCCACATTCATGTTCCTTGCATTTTGGTATCGGAGCTGGTTTGATTCGCCACTTACCTTGGTGCGCTGGCGTTATACAGACTTGGTGATGCTTCTTCGCAGTTGGTTCTTGTGATGTCAGGCCATACTAGGCGCACTACCTGGGTAGAGAGGTGTGCGCCGGAAGGCTAAGACGGCATTGATTGCCATGGTGACAGGCGGAATGTATGATTGGTGATGAGAGCATGCTGATGTGGCATTCGGCTGAGGTGCCATTGCATTGCGTTGTGGGTGGTACCGAGGCCAAGACCGGTCATCAAATGCACACTCAGCTCAATTGGTGAGAAATCTGTGGTTGGGGGCAGCTATCTCCAGGTACGTTGTTCCCTTACCTTATCTACTCTCTCAATCTCTTCTTACCGCGAGGAAGTGAGTCCAACTTGAGAGTCCTCTCTTTTGGTGAGGTGTTGTGAGCGCGCTACCTTGAGAGACGACAATCTTCCCGGAAGCATCTGGAAGGAGAAAGGGCGGTGCCTCTGAAAGGCCCTGGTCGGAGCACTGGGTCACGGTCACCATGCCAACCCAATGGGAGTAGGTCACGCATGCGATGGCTGCTTGTCCATTTTGGCACTATGCTGCGCTATAGAAGTCCTGCCGGGTGTGCCAGCCTTTTATGAGACGCTTACCAGACCGTCTACAAACATTTCTGGTTGGGGACTCGGATTGATTCTGGCTGTGATCATCGTCCTGACTGCGACGTTAAATAATTCCTGAGGAGATGGGGGCTCTCCTAAAATTCCTCCTGATCAGCCATATCAGCCGGGTGTAAGGCTCGTTCCGTACAAGGGTAAATAAGAGTGGACTGGCTGGCTTGCTCGGCAATGACTTGGGCACAGGGGTGGGCCGACAACACACATGAAGACACCGCTGCTCATTGATGCTATTTGGTATGTTGGATTGAGGGGAGGGTAGGTTCTAATTGATGCTCAACTGGAAACACAACCATACCCACTGATCATACATCTGCAACATGGTCTTGGTTTATTATTGATTAGTTGGTTGACAACTGCTAACACCTCACAGACAGATTAGAGTAGGACTGTTGTATACTACCATAGCCAGTTCTATCTAATGCTGCTGTAAGTGGACCAATCAAGGTACACCTAGACTATGTTGACAGTCTATTGTGAATGTTGTAGGCTGCCACTTGATCGGTAAAAGTTGGGGACCTGCCGAACACAATTATTTTTAGAAAATTAGGTGCCGGTCAGACACATGCTGTGGTAGGACTCCACTAGGGGGTTGTATTGCAGACAGTGTTTGCCTAACTGATGAGCGGGTCAGACACCGATGAGGGTAGAGTTGACAATGTGAGACTTACATGTTCGGGAGCACAATGTGAGACTTACACGTGTTCGAGACCCTACAACCGGGAGGCGAAGCACGGCTTCGTGCCGACGGAGAGCCCGTGCTCTTGCAGCAGCGAGGGCAGCAGCGAACCTAGCAGCTAGAGAGCAGGCAGCAACAGTCAGAGCAGCAGCAATGGCTAACGGCGCAAGCTCTGCTGCGTCCTCTGCTGCATCCTCGTCAGGAACCCTGCTGGGAATGCCCTCAGGGCCCGCGGGTACTTCCGGGTCAGTAGGTTCTAGTCAGACCACAAGTCAAATGGCGGGCTCGCAGTTAAGCCCGTTGACCCCACGCGGCAGGGAGCTCTTAGAGCTCCAACAGGTCGAAAGGATTCGCGAACGGTTAGACAGGGAACTGAAGCAAGCAACCGATAGAGAGAACGAGATCAAAAGAAGAGCAGCCAGGCTTGATACGTTAGAGGCAGACAAGGCTGCACTGGAGGGTTTGGATGAGACAACAATGTCTGACCAATTGAAAGTGTTGAAGAATAGCATGTTGTCGATGCATGCCCATGTGGACAGCAGACTAGACTTCATGCAGAATTCTCTTGACCAGATCTTGGACCTTTTGCAAAGGCCAGGATTTAGGCCAGCAGCACAGTCGCCATTGCCGTTAACGGCGATGTCAAGCCCCTTTCCGGTACAAGCTGGCACACAACCACGTGGTACGTCTGCAGCAGTCTCACAGACTGTTGCTTCTTCTTCTTCTGGGTCAGCGATGGTAGCTACACCACCGCAACAACTTGTTCCTCAACAGGGACAGCAGCAAGGTCAATGGTATCCAAAGACCCCTATGAAACCGCCTCTTGCCTTCTCAAGAGAGAAGAAGGACGAGGAACTCAACACATGGTTGAGAACAGTTCCGGTATGGGTAAAGGCGAAGAGGACTTTGCAGGAGGAGGAGGTGATTACTGCTGCATCTTACCTTGAGGGTAAGGCAGCCAAATGGCTGGATGGTTTAGTTTCAAAGGCCGGGTACGGACGACGCATGGCGGACTGGGCTAAGACCATTACGTTAGACGAGTTCTTATAAATGGTAGAAGCTCGTTGGCACAATCCACAGCAGGCACAAATTGCCACTGATGCGATAAACAAACTAGACCAAAGAAAGTTCAAGTCAGTCAGAGAGCTTACGACTACCGTAGAGAGCCTCATCGTTGTTCCCGACATAAACTACGATGACCAATTCTTGTTGACCACGTTTGTGAGATGTCTCCCAGAGAATCTTAGAAATTTGCTGGCCAGCGAGGCCCGCCTTGAGTATCACTCATTTGAGACCTTGTCTAGAAAAGCCTTAGATTTAGAGGCCACTCTAGGAAGTGTTCAACCTTCTTCAGTAGATGCGAAGAAGAAGAAAAGTCCACAGAAATGGAAGAAGAAGGGGGCTAAATTGATGATGGTTGAGTCCGATGGGACTCGAATAGAGATCGACGAGCTCACCGACCTGTGGGACTCAGAGTACGACGACGAGGAGATCGCTGAGGGTAGGACCCTCGCCGCAGTAGTTAAGGCTCAGGCTAGTGGTCGAGTGAAGGGCCATCAAAAGAGTCAAGGGAAGGCCGCCTCCAATCAGACCAAAGTTGCTGATTGGGTCAAGGCAGGTCTTGATCAAGAAGTGTGGCGGGACCGCCGAGTGCGTGGTGCTTGTATTAACTGTGGTGAGTACGGACACACCCAGTACAAGTGCCAGAACGCAAAGGTCACGCAGAAGATACCTCCTAAGATGGGGGCATCTTCTTCCCAGGCTTCTAGCTCGGGAAACAYKTRAGGCCGGTGGAAGTTTTAGYTGYTYCTACTCATGGTGAAGTGGGYCWGATACCCTCCCCACTTCATGAGAWGGCCATAGCTAATGACTCTTTAGTCACCCCGAAGATGTACGTTAGATGTGTCTGAAGCCTTAGAAGACTTGGAGAGTGAGTGGTCAAACAAGGACCCTCGTGAATCTTGGGTGGGACTAAGGAAGGGTCCTAGAGGGGAACATTTCGTGGTGGAAGTTGATGTAGGAGGCCGCAAATGTGATGCCTTCATAGACATTGGCTCCACACGGAATTACATAAGTCGCGACTGTTTGGAAAGGCTGCACCTACAGGACCGGGTACAGCACCTTAGTAGACCTGTAGCATCTACTTTGGCCAATAAGGAGCGCATGATAGTCACAGACTATATCAAGGATGTAGTCTGTACCTTCTCCTATGGAGGAGGGGAACTTAATCATAAGATTTCGTTCCTGGTTAGCGACGACTTGCCATTCGATATGTTGTTAGGCATATACTACCTTGAGGTTGCCAAGCCCCAGTTTGACTGGGACAAGAAGGTGCTAAAACATAAGTTGCCTGATGGCAGAAYAGTCAGATTGACTAAGTTCAAAGCCAGTAGCATAATAGATACCTATGGCTGCTTGTGTGCATCAGCGTTCTATAATTATTACAAACAGAACCAAGAGGAGGGTATGTACCTTGTGTATGTCTCTGAGAAAAGGCAGGCCGTTAAAACACCCCAGAGATAGAACACGTCGTTGCTAAGTTCCCTGATCTGTTCGAGGAGCCCACAGGAGTTGTAGAAAGGGAGGTTGTCCACGCCATAGAAATCATTCCAGGGAGTAAAATCCCAAAGGGAAGGATCTATAGGATGGCTCTGGCCGAGTTGGATGAACTTCGGCGATAAATGAAAGAGATGACAGAAAAGGGATGGATCCGACCAAGTACTTCCCCCTACGGATCTCCAGTGCTATTTGTACCGAAGAAGGGGGGCACATTGAGGATGTGCATTGACTGTAGAGGCCTCAATGCCATCACAGTGAAGAACGCAGAGCCTCTACCTCGCATAGACGACCTATTGGATAGGGTGCAGGGATGCAAGTACTATAGCAAGATAGATTTAAAATCGGCTACCATCAGATCGCAATAAGACCTGAGGATCAGCACAAGACTGCATTTCATACCAGATATGGTCTGTATGAGTTTGTTGTGATGCCCTTTGGTCTTTGTAACGCGCCGGGTACATTCCAGCACGCCATCTTCCATGACCACTTATATAAGTTTGTCGTTGTTTACCTCGACGATATTCTGATCTTTAGTAAGTCTGTCGAAGAGCATGCACAACACGTTGAGACTGTACTCTCGCCATGAATAGAGAAGTGTGAGTTCGGACGTACTAAGATCTTATACTTGGGTCATCAAGTATCCGCGGAAGGGATTAGGCCGGAAGATGCGAAGGTGGCTAGTGTTCGAGACTGGCCACGACCTCAGACTGTTACTGAGGTCAGATCTTTTTTAGGAATGTGCGGCTACTATAGAAATTTTGTAAAGAACTATTCCACAGTCGCCTCTCCTTTGACAGATCTAACTCGACTTGACACGCCGTGGGACTAGAGTGATGAGTGCAAGGGTGCTTTCAAACGACTGAAGCATGCACTCATGAATCATGAGGTTCTCATGGTGCCCGATCCTCAGAAGCCATTCATAGTGATCACTGACGCAAGCCAATATGACATTGGCACAGTGCTGGCTCAGCAGGATGGGAAGAAGTTGAGACCGATTGAGTACATGAGCAAGAAAATGCCATCAAAGAAACTGGCAAAGTCCACCTACGAAAGGGAACTCTATGCTCTTTATAAAGCCCTTGTCCATTGGAGGCATTTCCTGTTGGGACGGTTTTTCTACTTGAGAATTGACCATCAGACCCTCAAATGGATCAAGACTCAACCGGCTCTCTGTGATGCACTCAAGCGATGGATTGAGGTCATAGATCAGTATGACTTCAAGCTAGAGTATCTGAAGGGAGAGTACAACAAGGTTGCAGATGCGCTGTCCCGTCGAGCAGACTACCTAGGGGCGCTAGTTTCTGAGTTTGGTGTATCTCAGGAAGTAACTCAATCGTTGGTGGGAGCCTATCAGGAAGACCCTGTCATGATGGACATCATGCACAAACTTCAGGCAAAAGACAAGGCCACAAAAAGTGAGTTTGTGATGATGGATGGGTTACTCTTTCTTGATAAGGTCGGGTGTAAAAGGTTAGTAGTTCCATCGAGTGAGAGTTTGCGTAGTTTATTTCTAGGGAAATGTCACGACGCAAGTGGACACTTCGGCTACAAAAAGACGAGTGCCAATCTGGTACAACGATTTTGGTGGCCTAAAATGCTCGATGATGCAAAGAAGTATGTAGAGACCTGTCAGGTCTGTCAGCGGGACAAGCCGCGAACTCAAGCACCGCTTGGGCTGCTAAAGCCCTTGCCTATCCCTGCTGGTCCAGGACAGAGTGTTTCCATGGACTTCATGGACACCGTGGTGACTAGTAAGAGTGGCAAGAGGCATATCTTTGTCATCATTGATCGATTTACCAAATACGCTAGACTAATTGCCATGCCAGAGACCGCAAGGACTGACCACGTCATCAAGTTGTTTATGGACAACTGGGTGCGTGATTTTGGTTTACCAAAGTCAATTGTTAGTGACAGAGATGTCCGCTTCACAAGTGAGCTGTGGAAGAAGACTGCTGAGCAGATGGGCAGTCAACTTCAGATGACTTCAAGGAATCATCCCGAAGCCAACGGACAGGCCGAGCAGATGAACAAAGTTGTACAACACCTGCTGAGGCATTACATCAAGCCCAGCCAGGATGACTGGGATGAGAAGTTGCCTCTCATCGCCAGCCTGTACAACAACGCTGTACACAGCAGTACCGGCGTTAGTCCTAACCAGCTGCACTTGGGATGGAAGCCTAGATCAGCTCTGGACTTCCTCCTACCTGAAAACCGACCCTCTGCAACTCCAGGCACACTAGAGTACGGTGTGCAGTATGTGAAGTTGCTGCAGCAAGTTGTCGAGCACATCAAGAACGCTCAGCAAGCAATGATTGCTTCCAGGAACAAACATCGTCGACAGTCCTCATTTCAGATAGGAGAACATGTCTGGGTCAAGGCTAGTGAGCTAGGACAGGAATTCGGAATCTCTCGCAAACTAATGCCTCAGTATTTTGGTCCATGGGAAGTCCTGGATATAGTTCGGGATGAGATGGATGGTCCTACCTATGTTATCCGTATCCCTGGTCATCTGCGCACTCACCCTGTCTTTCATGCCTCAAAGCTTGCACCTTTCATTGAGACAGATCAATTCCCTTCAAGGAGATCGATGTTGCCCCCAACCATGGATGGTCAAGTGGACATCGACGACATTGTGGATCACAGAGATCTGCCTGTTCCAAAGCCACTGGGTAGAGGAAGACCTCCAAAACCCAAGTGGGAGTATCGAGTCCGATTCAGGCATCATACGGATCCGAAGGAAGATCGGTGGTTCACCAGAGAGGAACGGATTGACACAGCTCCTCAAGCGGTGGCAGATTATGAGAGAATGTTGAAAGGGAAGGCACCTGCGAAGTAAGCATCTCAGCGGACTTTCGAAGCTAAGGGGGATGGAATGTGAGGATTGAGCCCTCAAGAAGGGGCCTTGCCATGATGTACATGTTCTGGGCTTCGGCCCCAGCAAGCCTCGTGCCCGCCCTCAGTGAAGGCGGGCCAGCAAATCAACAAGAGCCCTCTATGCAAACATTTCACGAAGTGGGGTCCATGCAGTTGCAGCACGCCAGTTGGTTGGAGGCACCGAGTATCGGAGCTCTACAAATGCAGAAATCCAAGGGCCCCAGAGTTGGTTAGGCCCTAGGCACATAAACGTGAGGCCGACATTGCATACTGGAAATAGAGGCCGAAAATGCCAATGGGATACCGGTCCACTATCTGAATCTGGACGCAGGCCTGGATGAAAGAGGCACAACTGTACTGCGTGGGCCCCAACCGCATTGGGCCTGGGTGCAGGTACTGGGGCCCAGGCGCAGGCTCAAGGGAGGCCGCCCACACACAACACTAGCATATAGGCAAGCAGGGCGAGTGGGCAGGGATGTTGGCCATTGCGGGCAATGCCGGCACGCTGCGCGAATGCGAGATGCTGGGCTGCGCTAGGCTGAGGCAAAGGCAGGCTGCGCTAAGCGGTAGGGCGTTGTCTGGGCGCAGGGCGCTGGCGGCCATAGCCGGGCTGCCTGTGGGCGCAGAGGAGGAAGGGCGAAGGTGGTTCTTCGGAGGTGAAGGGCGCTGTGTGGGATAACAAGGGAGAGTGAGGGAGAAGAGAGAGACGTACCTGGAAGGAGGGGAAGTCGGCATTGGTGTTGACATCATCACTCGCTGGTCGTCAAGTTGTCTGGTAGCTTTCATGCTGTAGTTGTAGTGATAGGCTGTATAGTAGGTAGGGCGCCTGGCGTCATTCAAGAGAGAGAGCTACATTGGGTTATGCTGTTGGTGTTGCCCGATTGGGCTTGGACATTGACTCACGATTCTTCTGTATCATTCTCAAATGGATGGTTACTTGGTTCCATTGTGCTATCTGCTCTTGCTTTGACTACTTGGACTTCAGTGTGATTTTGCAATCTGGATTTCTGTGCTTTGTCCACATTCATGTTCCTTGCATTTTTTTTTAACGTCTTTTCAATCCGGATGGTCTGGAGCAGTCCAGACAAAGGTCCGGCGAAACGTCTGGACTGGTCTGGTGTCATGGTGTGGCATACTGCGTAGCCACACGGGCCTGCAGGGCCCGTCCCACATTCTCAGCCTAAAAGCCTAGAAAATAGGGCTTACAGGCCCCATGTCGTTTCAGCCTGAAACTGAAAACGAGGGCCTGCAGGCCCTATTTCGTT